CCTATGCGTGAGCGGCCGATCAAACACTCGTGCTACTCCAGTCCCTGCAACACGGCGCAATACTGTGCCGGACCAGAGTAGCCTCTTTGAAGCAGGACTTTAACTGCTGCAACTATGCTGGTACTGCCGTCTCATGGGAAGATCACTAAACGACGCAATGGTGACGTACTGAGTGCAAAGGCTGAATTCATCGCCCCACGTCTCACCCTTCTCGACAGGCTGACATAGCCGACTCGAGTTCCGAACCTGGCCTTTGCTTCGGGGGTTTGGTTTGTGGGTTTGTGTTTTTTGTTTGCTTGTTTGTGTGTTTCCTGTTCGGTGGTGTTTGGCCTCTTGGTTCGTAACTCTCTCTTTACTAGCTAAAGGTGACTTGTGCATCCTCTGCACACATAGCGCCTCGACCCGTGCAAAAAAAGAGCTGGGGAGAAAGCGCTTGGCGTGTTTGATGTTCTTGATCGAAAGCAATTAAGCTTACAGATCAATGGTCAGCTGCTTGTTTCAGCAGTCTGATTGCGGCCTTGCAGGCTTGGTGCGTGTTTGTTTGCTACAATGCTTGTGGTGGACATCCGCCGTGAGTCGACCTAGCGCCTTGAGTCTTCGCATTTTTTTGGTCTGTCTTAGTTTTGGGTGAGAGGGAAGAAGGGTGGGGAGATGTTGAGCGAAGGTTTGGCGCCGTGGAGCCGTGGAGCCTGTCATGTTTGCGTATGTTTATAGGCCAGTGTTCAGGAGCCATCTCTGGTCGTTCAGTATGGCAAGGAACGCACCACGGGCAGGCCCTACCGGAAAGTTCCTTGTGTTTCTACCACACCATACACAGGGAGATGTACGGCTGGTTTGGCCTCGTAGGGGTAGCCAGAGGTCCGCATCTTCGCCCAAAGCCCACCGCAGAACAGCAAATCTCGGGACTGCTCCGACTTGTGACACTGGTGTGTGCGCCAGCCATTCCAGGAAGGCGAAGGACGGCCCTAGGGCCCATCTATTGCGGGAGATCCTGGAAGAGAGGTGAAGTATCGACTCCTCCACAATACGAGCAACAGCAAGCTGCTTGAAACATGTTTGAAAATGGCGCGCGGCTTGCGGCGAGGGGCCCGACTGTCTCAAAACAAAGAGAAGTCGTAGGACCTCCTCAGGTGCAAGCTGCTTTTGCCAGTAATTCCAGCAGTGGTAGACCTGTCGCGTATACGAATCATCCGAGCACCTGGGAACATGAGGAAGTGTAGTATGGCCTCGGCGCAGGAAACAACCAAAAAGCGAGACCGCATGCATAATCGTTGGATCCAGTAAAGGGCCAAGGCGGAGCCATCGACAGAGACCAACGAGCTTGTTCTGAGGAAACCAGTGGCGCTTGAGAAGAAAGTCAGCAAGCGCACGGTAGAGTGGCTGCAACAAGGGCAAGGAAAAATAGCGATGCGTTTGGACATAGTAAAACAAGCTCAGAGAAAAGGCATTAAAATATATGATTTTGGCATGGATGCTAAGGTTACCTTTCACGCCAGCTGCAAGGCGAGACCGGAATTTTAGCAGCTGCTTGGAGAGGAGGGAAGGCATTGAGAGCTGCAAAGGAACGCGTTCCATCTGTTCTTCTTGCAGAAGACAGGTCCATCCTGTGTGTAGTGTGAGGCCAAGATTGACAGTAGCTGGTACTATGCATTGCCCACCAAGGCCTGCGCAATCAGCTTGATAGAATTGTTTTGCCGAGTACGCCTCACTGGTGAGTAACTGAGTTTTCGAGCGGCATTTACAGGGGCTGGCAGAGAGCTGAAAAAGCAATGGATGCCCATTGCGTGACCACTCATGAACTTGACTAGCATGGAAGAGAGCACAGTGTTCTCCGTGCCGGAGGACAAAATAATGGGCATGAGCAGGAATATGGCGTACAGCTGCAGAACAAGTAGCTTCGCCTATCGCATGCCATGTAATGATGTCGCTCCATACATCGGCAACCCGAAGTAGCTGCTGTTCAGGTAGGGGGTTTTGGAGAAGCCAACTTGCCAGCAAGTGTGAACATCCATAATAACACATGTTGTAGCCCATGAGTCAATGAGATAAAACCTCTTTGATCCACTGGGGTTCTTCCTGCATGCCAACGATTGTGGTGTCATCAACGTAGCCAGCAACAAGGAGGACCCTGGGTACTTGGTGTAGTGCGACGAAAATGGGGTCCATGGCTAGACAAAAGAAGTAGACGGAGGTCGCCCGACCCATGTCAACCCCTGAGAACACTTCTCTCGTCGGAAGGGCTGGCGCCTCAGTGTCGGTCCTGTTGGCGTCACCTTTCGCTGCCGCCGTAGTCTCTGTACAGCAAAACCACCTAGATAGACAGCTCCCAGGCTGGCACCTCAGTGTCGGTCCTGGACGAATACAAAGTGTACAGGTTTTACTTGGGTCACTAGACGTAGGGTAACGACGTTTCACCGTGTTTCACTCTTGTAGAGGGGCACTGCATGGTACAGGCATTCAACAGACATTTGACACTTAGCATCGAGCACAAGTCAACGCAAGCCAGACGGCTCCCACTTGATCATCTAGGCTTCCTCTCAAGCCAGATGGCCCACTTGCCTTTGTGTGACTTCCCCTGGCAAAGCTGTTCAGAAGTCACCGTTGCAAGTCTTGTAAGTGGTGTCATGGTCCTCCTCCCCTTTGGGGAGGAGTTGACATCTGCCGCAGTGATTGCCTTCCTTCGCAACCATATTGATCTTAGGCTGCACTGCTGAAATTGTTACCGACAGTTTGGAGCTTTCGGAAGCATTTCGCAGTGGTTTTCCCTGGCGCCTTGTCAATTCTTGTCAATTCTACCGAGGAAACCCCTTACTTTGTCTTGCATGATTTCGCCTTGCATCCTTGAATGCATGATCGTAAGGGTAGCTTACAATGCTCTCCAAATGCAATTACGTCCACAGCGTTCTGACTCAGGACGCTTCGCTGCCTGCAATGAAGAACCAGGAAAGACGTGAGACCTAAATAAAGAATTCAGCAAAACAATACCTCGCGGTCCAGATGAACTGAGAGCCGGTGCTTAATTCATTGCCCCTGTTTCACCTTCTCCTCTTTTGGTCGACGCGGCCGCTCGAGCTACATATCAGGTTGCGGTGTTGGGGGTTTGTTTGGTTTGGTGGTTGCTTGTTTGTGTTGTGGGGTTTGTTGCTTGTGGGTTTGGCCTTGCAACCAGGATAGTAACTCTCTCTTCACTAGCGCAAGATGACCTGTGCAACCTCTGCGCACATGGCGTCTCCACCTGTGCAAAAAAGGGGACAAGGACCCGGGGGCAGGGAACTGGGGGCGGGGAAAGCTGCACCAGGGAATCACAAATGACCCGGACTTAGTCTGAAATCTCCAAAAACCGAAAAAACAATTTCATGGCGGTGCCCTCTTGTGTTTCAAAAAGCCTGAAGCACCACTTTGCGTCGTCGAGAGCATGTTTTTGCTGCTGGCGCAGGTGGAACCATGGGCCGGTGGTGGCAGAATGCTAGATGAAAGAGTGGGGCTCTGAATGGGCGTGAAAACTGTCAACCAATTCTGTTCCCCCGGGTGTGTCTGCAAAAGGTTTGTTTTCTTTGCTTCAATGCTCGCTGGAGTTGGCTCGGCCTCTATTTTTTCCTTTGTCGATGGCTTCTGGTTACAGCTTGGCTGTTTGCCAGCAAGCCACAGTAATGAAAATATACATGCACCTAAATAGATTGCCTAAAAAAATGGTTAAATCGTTAATTCGTTAAGTTTGATCTTTTAAAATATATCTTTTTCTATATTAAAAAGAAACAACTTAATTAATTAATGATTTAATGATCGTACACCCGGGAGTATGAAATGCTCTAAGAGCAGAAGTCTCGTGTCTAGAAATTGCAATCTCATTCTGGCACACTATCTCAGTCAATGTCAGGAATATGCAGCTTAGCTGGCAACCAAAACAAAGACCTGAAAGGTTTAGAAACCTGGCTGGAGGTCTCTCAGTACGTTCTCACTTGGCTTGGGTCACATAGCCTCGTGATTTCATTGCGCATCGATTTGCGGCGGTGTCATCAAGGTTGATGACGCACACTTTCCGGTTATCTGCGCGAGCCTGTTGACATAGACGGTCAAAAAAATGCCAGAAAATGAGAAGCTGCTATTGGCTTCCAGCCGGCATGTACGGCTCCTCTTTTGAAGCCAAAAAGTAAATTCAAAAAGTGTATCAGAAACAGGTTCACCTTTAGGCTTTTTGTCGCACGCAAAACTGACCTCCAACGTTTGAGGCAAACACCTGTGGATCTCAGACAACGGTGATCTCCAACCATGAGAAAGAGGAAAAATATATGTGCAGCCATTGGAAGAACAATCTGTTGGAAATCTGTTCGGATCAACTGTGTTTTTCCAGATAAATGCTTGTAAATCGGCGTGGTGCTTTCGATATCCACATTTTGGAGGTCTAACATTTCCAAACAGTTCCCACCTTTTGCTGAATCTCTTTGATGTCCATGCATTCCCGCTCCATCATCATCTTTGTTTGAACAAAACTGCTGTTTTTTTGTATTTCAAGTCAAAATAGATTGCCAAAAAAGGGACCATTAAATCATCAATTAATTAAGTTGTGTCTTTTTTTAATAAATATATTTTGAAAGATCAAACTTAATGAATTGACGATTTAACGGGTCCTTTTTTGGCAATTTGAAGCGATGGTGTACGCAGACTAACACACTGGGGACTGTCTCCAGGTCCCTATGTCGGTTTGAAACAGGACACAAGGATATCGACTGTGGGGTCCTCGATGTCAATGTGTACTTTACGCATGAGCAACGGCTTGTCAGGCTACCTCCTCCACTTCTTTCCCTTACCCAGATTGAGGAAAGAAGCAGGCGACCAGTCGATGGTTGGGCGGAAGGCTTTAACTTCCCCCCTGCCTTTCTCAAGCTTGTCGTTCACTTTGAGAACTTCACAATCATTCCATTCCAGTAACACTGTATCGCCGTCAATGAGAGGGGCGTCAGTGCATACGCCCACACCGGCTCATTCATCGTGTCCCACAAGAGTGTCCTACAAGAGTGTCCCAGAAGAGTGTCCTACAAGAGTGTCCTATAGGAGCGTCCGACAAGAGAGTGTCCCAGAAGAGTCTCCTACAAGAGTGTTCCACAAGAGTGTCCCACAAGAGTGTCCCATAAGAGTGACCCACAAGAGTGTCCCACAAGAACGTCCCACAAGAGTGTCCTACAAGAGTGTCATTTGGACATATGTAGCTTTTCGAACGTGTTTGCATTCGGGTTCGTGGGCTCCATCTTGTTTTTTTGTTTTTCTTCTGGAGGTTCGAGAGGTTGGCTGAGTTGGAAGCAAGAAGTAAAAGCCAGCAAACAATATGACATAAAACTAGCTTGCCCAAACCATTTTCATATCCTACAAATGTTTTTTGCTGGCAAAACTTGTTGGTGCGCTGAACAGTTTTTGAGTCTGATTCTTTCGTGACATGTCTTCAGTTGTCTTGAAACGGTTGGTGTTGAGGTACACCCAAAGTTCGCTGTCAAACCAGGCATCAATACATTCAGATTGCCCAAACGGTTCAAAAGTAAAGTTGCACTTGTGTTCTTTCTGTGGTGTTTGCTGCGTTTAAGACGGGTTTTATGTCACAGCCATGGTTGAGTGTGCAACAGATCCCGGCCATATAGAGGGGAGTGATGCGGAGATTGCATCGGTCGTGGTGCAATGGCAAGGGAGTGATGGGACGTCCACGTTTTCCACAATTGAGCTGGATGAAGAAAGTAAATGCTCAACCTTAGCTTGCTTCAAGGTGCTTTGTGCCAAAGCACTTGGAGTTGAGCTAGTTCAGCTGCCAGATTTCAACGAGGATATGGACGAGACTCCAATCGCGGAGCTGGGAATCGGCTTCACGGATGTTCCGATTTTGCTGGATTTGGGGACCTCCGAGGTGACAGAACACCGTTTACATGCCGAAATCGTGGATACAGACGGACTGGAGAAAGCCAAAGCAAAGGTCAGCCCAAAAGCGGATTCCAAGCCTTCTTTTTCTGCTCGCAAGGCTTTAGAAGATGCATCAGAGATCAAAGATGGCTGGCTCTTTCTCAGTGGACAGTTGGCCGCAACAAATCTGGAGTGCCTACAACGTCTGGGCATCACGCATGTGCTCAACTGTTGCGAACGGATTCCATGCAAATTCAAATCGAGGTTGACCTACCGGACGATCGCCGTTCTGGACACGAAAGCCTCGGACATCAGAGCTCACATTCCTGAAGCTTTGGCCTTCATTGATGAGGCTCAAACCACGAACGGCAAAGTTCTCGTTCATTGTATGGTGGGCGCCTCACGGAGTGTGTCCCTGGTCCTGGCATGGCTGGTGGCACGTTGTAGCATGTCTTTGAAAGAGGCATTTTTGCTGGTGCGGAAGGCCAGACACCAAGCTCGGCCAAATCGCAGCTTCTGCGAACAACTCATGTTGTTTGAGACTGAGACTCGAGGAAGCTCCAGCACCACGTTAGCGGATTTCTTTCACACATGAAACTTCAAAGCTAAGAAGCCAAAGTTCAGCTGCGAGTCAAAGGGTTGACCTTTTGTTTTGCTTTACAGTTGTCATTGATGCCAAAAAGTTCTGCCTGTTGAACAGAATTTTTGTTTGAACAGAATCGCTATGGCATTTTCGTTCCAGAGAGCTTCCACTCAGAGCTTTCTACTGATTGACATTGGACATTTGGTGAGACCATTGAAATTGAGACTTAACAAGCAGTTTTACTCAGTTGGAGCTCTTTAAGATCAAACAGTTCAAGGGTTTTGGCACCCCGATATGTTGAAGGTCCGATTTGGCATCATCTGGATGTGCAACATTGGTGTTTGCAGCGCAACGCCGAGGGAAGCTATTCTATCCTGAGCAGATGGTGTTTCTTCGAAAGTCAGTCATAGATAGGTCATGGAGTGGTACGTTATCGACGGTTCACCATAGTTCTCCACATTTTTGTTTGACTCACTAGAACATCCTTGAGTGGCGAAACATCTTTATTTTTACTTTCATCTCCCTTTGGACGCCGCAACAAGCCATGGAGCGCCAAAGCTGGCTCAGCCAGCTTCTTTACACCGGGGCAGCGGTGGGAGGTGCTGCTTGTGCAGCTGTAGCAGCAAGGATGGTGATGTGACTTGTGCGATCATGGGTGTATAATCTTTTTGGAACATGAAGTGAGCTGGCACGAAAGACAACCCATGCTCTTGTTTTCCAAGACACAGCAATGCTTCGGCTGATGGCTCAACTGGTTTCAACCAGGAACCTGCAGCGAGTGCTGCGTGCACGATCGCGGATCAAGGCGTGCTGATGAAACAACTGAGGGTTCGACGCTGGCGAAAGGGTTCGACCAGCAACAGCCCACTTTCGTTGCAGCCATTTCTGACGCTGGAAAAGCCTGTCTTGTGGTTCGGTGGTCTATACCTTGGCCTGTGACCCATCGCGTTTCGCGGTGTTCAGACCTCTTTGCCGCCCACCCTGCACACGACGTCAGGGTGTTCAGACGCGTCTCTAGAGGTCGTAGGTGAGAAGAGCTCCGAAGCCGAAGAGCTCCCAGGGAGCTCCGAAGCGGAAAAGATCTCCAAACCTTTTGTTCAGAAGGCCACGAGAGACTCACTATCATGAGTCAAAGTCAGAGACTTCTGAAGTCAGAGACTGATATACAACATGTTGACCAAGCAATCTTGTCCTCGAAGCGAGTTCCCTGGCCACCGTCTTTCAGCGTCAAAAAAACCGAACACCGTGCACCGATGGATCTCCTTTCGAGAGCTTGAAGTCTTCTGGCAGAGACGTGTTGCAAGTCGTTGGGCCTGCGGAAGTTCAGCAACCCGTACCGCACAACAACGGTTTTCTTCCATGACTTCTATGTATAAGTCAGTCAGACAAAGTTTTGCAGCATGAAGCACTTTACACACTTCCTATTAGATACTTCCTACTTTAATAGAGAAACATTTTCGGTGACCCCAAATGCATGAAACCGCAAACAGTATTACTGTATTATAGCTTTCCCTAGTGCAGCCAACCGTGACATGGTCCAATACCAAGACAACATGTTTTTTCTACTATGCAAGCCATGTACTTTTTGATGAAAGCACGTGTTCGATGTGTTTCCAGCAATGTGAATCAGTGGAGTCATGCTTGACGTCTCTGCTGTTCAAGATGCCTTTGGTTCTATTGGGTGGAAAAGGACATACTTCTGACTTAGGGAAATGAGGACAAGCACCGGGATGAGTAGAGGTTGTTGATCCTGGTGTACCTTTGGCACTTGCAGGTGCTTCTAGCAGCTTCAGCTGGCACGGATGCGCGAGTGGTGATTACCGGGGCCACTGGGGGCATTGGACAAGAACTGGCGGAGCAGCTGCTGCGCAACTCAGCTTTTTCTCAGTGTAGAGGTCCTTGGAAAAAATCACGGTTCAGAGGCCCTCAGTGTGGCACCTCCTCCCAGTGGACTGGACCATGAACTTGCAAATTGAGACGTCCCTGGTGCATTCAGGTAATCCTTCGGTGCACCTGCTCTTGGGCTGCCGAGATCATTTGAAAGCCCAACGGCTCTTTCAATCCTCTGAGCGGACGAAGGCGATGTGTGTCCCTTTTTGAGGTGCTCCAAATGGGATCAGGCCCATCCAACGTGGAGCGATCCATACCTCCTGGATGGGGCTGGGGACCTGGACATGCGAAGCTGAAAACGGTCAAAGCAGAAACAAAGAGCCTTCCACACACAAGAAGATGCAAAGGACAGAATCCCATCTGATCTCATACCTCTCTGGACAGCTGGCGCCACCCGTGGCGCCGGCGCCAGGTCCATCGCTTGGACCTCTTGGATCCCGATTCCGTGCAAGCCTTTGCCGACGAGGCGATAGCTGTCGGTCGGGTCGACAGTCGTCGACTGGCAGGTTCGGTCGATTGCAGATCACACGAATCGCGCAGGTTTGGATGCGAAATACACACTTCGCTAGCAGCTGGCCAGGTTTGACAAATAGGCAAAAAGCACACAGGTTTGAGTTTGTTTTTCTTAGCGCCGGCACCAAATAGCAAAGAAAAGCATTTCTGGTCAGGAGGTCGCATGAATCCACCGCGGGCCCCATCACGAGGTCTTTGAATTCTTTTCTTTCAACAGTGTATATAGCACAGCTTGTATATAGCACAGTGTATATATATATAGCACAGATTGTATATAGCACAGCTTGTATAGATGGCCCGCCGTATTGGACACACACACACACACACATTGAATTGATGTTTGCAACAGATATGCAATGTAAAAAAATCGTAATTCGTTATTGCTAATGGCCACTGTTGCTGGCAAAAGCTGTCGTTGCTTCCGAAGTCCCATTTGCCAAGCCATGCAGCGTTCCACTCCACAAATCTCCGAAGACGCCCTCGCACGGAGCTGGCTGAGGCGCACCTGTTCCTTGCGGGTGGTGAAAGTGGACTGAGGATGTCGGACTCTGAGGGGACGCGAACACCCGCCGTCGCGCGGCGTCGCGGCGTTCGTGACATCTGAGGCTGGTGAACAATGCCGGTGTCATGCGACCACCAGTGAGTCAAAGTAAAGGCAGGACCTGGTGATGCGGGACGTGCAAAGTGAGGAAGAACCGAACAAAATGCTAGTTTGACTTTGGAAAACGAAAGGTTCTATGAGCCAATCGCATCCGAAGTTTGGGGCTCAGGGAGGCTTTTGCCACTAGAAATGGCATTTGCATAGAGGATGTGGAAGTACATCCTGGGGCCCTTACTCCCGGCGGTCATAGGATGGCCATGGCAGCTGGGGCACAATGAGGAGCACAGCTTTGAGGAGAACCTCACTGGTGTGGATCCCGGCGGTGACACAGAGCCGCCCAGCAACAACACCCACCAGAAGGGTGATTTCTGGTGGTTTGAGGGGACGATCTGGGGCTTTTGGTGGAGTGCCGATGGCTTTGGAGAAGATGCCCCATGGTTCGGGACGCCGGAATCGCCCGGACGCCTGCGGAGCGACGGTGGTTGGGCTGGTTACTTCGTGGACGGCATTGGAGTGCAAGCTTTCGGTAGCTGGTGGCCCTGGGTGGCCTACTTTGTCATGATCACCTTCCTGACCGGGATTCTCGGGATCTTGACGTACAGCCTGCACACCTTGACGGGACCCTGCAGGGCTTTAGGAAGAGGGGTGCACGCCCTTTGCGGCCTATGCTGTTGCAGGAGGCGCGATGATCTTGAAGCCCACTTACCCAGTGCAAGGCCGTTGATGAGTGAGATCGAATGGCATGGACCCAAGACAGGTTGGCCGACGGAGACCAGGTATTTGCAGCAGCGCTTGAAAGGGCGTGGCAGCCGGCGACGCTTGAATGACGTGGTGGTTCGTCGCGGTGGACACGTAGCTCGGCTGCTTCAGGAAGAGAGCATGCTGAAACGGATTGACAGCGATGGACTACGTGTGAAATTCAATGGAGTCTCTGGTTGCACCTCTCGGCAGTTCAGACGAGAACTTGAAGAAGCAGGCGAAGTTCACCTTTGTCGACAACTTGAATGCCGAGCTGATCATAGCATGCACATCCAGGAGTTCGCCGGAGTTGATCATGAGGCTCTATTAGATCTACATCGTTACGCACATGGGTCACCACGTTGGCTTCTTGGTCTACTTGGACGAGGGCTTTGGCGCGCAGTTGGGCTGGTGGCGAGACTCACTCGCTGCTGCTGCCGCATCTGTTGTGTGAAAAAGGGGACCCGTGTCATTCGTGATGAAGAAGGACGTGAACGGATGCTTGACCCTGATTCGGAGTCTGAGGTGGAGGGCGACGAGTCATCGTGCCAAGGAGTGCGGATTGGATTGGTGATCGAAGGTGAAATGAGGCCCTTGGCACCTGATGGTTGCAATGACATGGCCACGCAGGAGGAGACCACGCTGCTGGACGAGGACATCGAGGTCTCGGATGTGCGGCCGCCTGGACCAGGTCAACTTGCTCGCATACCCCTCTGCGCTCATCATCGCCAAGTATATCAGGGGGCAGCAGCTAAACGGAAGTGTGGAGTGCTGACATGTCACAAAGCGTCCAAGGGAGCACGGCATGGAGTCCCGCTCTGCTACGACCATCTTTGTGAACAAGGAGGGTCGGGACTGAGGAAAGACAGCCCCCATCCTAACGGGATGCTCCAAGGGCTTAGGCGGAGGTTCGTGAAGAGATCAACGAGTCGGAGTCGGAGCCCAGCACCGGAGCAGCAGCCGGACGGAGGTGGCCTTGAGAAGCGCCAGGACCCCGGAGGAGTTTGGAACAAGAAGGAGAGTGGCATGGCACCTATGAGGTCGAGCTCTGTCGACCTGGGCAAAGTGATGATTCCATCGCCACCCAGGGGCATGCTCGATGAAGAGGATGTCATGGGGAAGCCCGTGTGGATGAAGATTAAGCTTAACTACTTGGAGGGCCAGCGAGAATGTGAATGGATCATGTGCATGGGCGAACTCGTGGGCTACACACCTGGAGGAGTTCGAGGTGATCGGAAGCTCGAGATTCACGTCAAGTACCTTGAGACCACCATCGTTGTCGACCCCAAGTACCTGGAGGACATGACTGAGGCCAAGAATGTGGAGGAGCCCGACCCTCTCAAAGCTCAGCTTCTGATCAATGACATCCCGCAGGACGCTGCAGGCATCGGCTTGGACGTAAAGGGCTACATTGTCCCGGAGCATCTGATCCAGCGCTTGAAATCGTGGGAGGGGCGGACCATTGGCAGCGGTAGACGCCTAAACCAGTTGCAGATTGACTATGTCAAGAAGAACATCTCCACCCTGGTGCGGAAACACAGTGCGGGCTTTGTGAACGGAGAAATCTGGCCTAGTTGGCCAGCTGAAGCTGAGCTCGGGCTTGATGTGCAGGTTCGTGGACGTGCTGAAGCTCAACCTTTCGGAGCCCGGGAGGAGCCGAGGAAGAGATCACGGAGCCGGAGCCATAGCTTAGCCAGGGTCATGAGAGAAGAGGACGAAGTGAAGCAGAAAATGGAGGTGGATGCGGCCGGAGACGCTGAGGGCGACGAGATGACCGGTGAGGGCGTTGTCGAGGCCTATGCGACGGCCTTAGCATCAGGCCAAACCCATCAGGAGGCGCTCGACACGATCCAGATGATCTTCGAAGTGGACTTCAGCGCCGTCCAGAGCATCCTGAGGAACTACATCCGCAGGAACTGTGGGAAGCAAAATGAGCAAGTTGAGGTGGCGATCAGGATCCTCAAGGGCGCGGGAGCATCAAGCTACAACGTGGCCAAGGAGGAGACCAAGCCGCCTACTGCACAACCGGATCAACCAGCACCAAGTGAGAAGAGGTTGCAGACGACCTCAGACAAGCTGTTTCCATCACACTTCGGATCAGTGAAGGATGAAAGCAGCCTCATTCGCCCAGCGGGCAGCTCTAGCACCCAGAACCCCTTGACAGTGAGTGATGGGGTGGTGGGACAACTCTTTGGGCTTGGGAGCAAGTTGGACGACACCTCGACACGTGCCGGAGCCGGGGGTGACGAAGAAGATGGACAGATGGGAGCCCGCGTCGTGCATGCTTTGGAGGGCCTCCGAAAAGCCACTGAAGGAGACAAGAAGGGCAACCCGGGGACGAGAAGCGCCATTGGGTCAGAGGAGGGCCTGGACGTCTACTTAGCTCGGGGATGCAACACCCTGACCGTGGAGGTCTGCCCTGACGTCACCGGGAAGGAGCTGTTCGATGCCCTGAAGAGAGCTTGCTCGCACGCCAAGGCCAAGCTGCAGCAGATTGAGTGGCCCTGCCTGGTGACGAATGGCATTGCCTATGGACTCGCGGCCATGCAGCATGGTGGGAAAGATCACACCACGCTGGCGCCGTGGCAGCTGAGCGTGGCGCATGCAGTGACGGCCAAGCCAAGAGACTTCGATCAGTATGAGGCGCCCAAGGACGACAAGATCGAGCCGAAGCCAAGGTATCCAACCCACTTCGCTACCTGGTTGAAGCAGGCGAAGAACGAGATCAAGATGATCGGGTCAGTGTTGGGTCTGGAGCATAAGAAAGAACGGCTTAAAGCCTTGGATCAGATAGAGAGAGCTCATGAGCAGGACTCGGACGTTTGGCCGGAGAACTACTGCTACAGTTTGTGGGAGGAACTCAAAGCCGCTTGGGTTGAAGAGTTGAGGGAGAGCCGCAGACAGCTTTGCAGGATCTTGAACACCGACAACCCGCGCAAGGAGGACCTCAAGTTCGTAGCGCTCGCACCGGACAGTGGTTTCCACTTCCCCAGGACCTTCGACTTCGCTCATCCCGAGGGCTACTACCAGCAGGTGTGTGTCCCAAGGCAAGCAAGGGCATTGAAGGGGATCATTTATGGGCAGTTGCACCACAAGCGTCAACATGGCGGAGAAGGTGAACACCCTGGTGGCGAGGCCGGTGGCGATGATGATCGCGTGGGACGAGGCCGAGACCGTGGCGGTGACAAAGACAAGAAGAAGAAGGAGAAGGAGCGAGACGAGAAGAAGGCCTACCCAGCCGGTAAGCGGCTGCGGCCAAAGGAGGCTGCGGAGTCGGTCAAGCATGGACCACGGACGAAAGAAGGAAAGCCTATCTGTTGGGATGGTGCCACACACATGGGCTGCAGCAGGGGCAAAGATTGCAATCACGCTCACCAACCAATCACCACTACGAAGGGCCTGCATTGGACGGTTCTAGCACAGTTGATTCGCCGTGGTGGACTGAAGAGTGGTCCGATGATCCAACCCGGTCAAGTTGATGGCAGGATCGCACAGTTGAGGGCGCAGGCAAAGGCGGAGCAGGATGAGAAAGTGAAGGATGGCGGCGCTCAGAAGCAAGGGTGGCTTCCTCCGGAAGAATATGAAGGAGTTCAATACACCCAGCTGGAAGATGAGCTCCGGGAATTGACCCGGGGGCCGGACGTGAACTGGCTCAGAGACCCGATGCTTGACGGAGGGCAAAAACGACACAGCACCTGGGAGAAGCGGGTGGAACATCCTGAAGCCCAGCGCCGCCTCAGAGTCCTCGAAAGTATGGAGAAGGCTGGCGTGTTCGCCAGGTTGAGCAGTTGGTCCAGCTATCTTCAGTCCCATGTGCGGGGCAGGATGCTCAACGCCGTCATTGAGAAGCAGGAGATGACGATCGATGACGTACTCCTTGAGGCTACGGAGAAGGGGTGCCCTGAGTTGGCGCAGGAGGCGGAGAAGGTCCTCAGCGAGGAGCGATCAGTCGGATGGGCCGATGACGAGAAGCAAGCTTGGATCAGTGCACCAATCTGGCAGAAAGACAAGGGCTATGGAGAAGGGAAGTTCGAGTTCCAGTGCGGAGCAGAAAGGATTTGTTGGCGCTACCTGGACTATAAGGACAAGTTGCCAGCCTCAGACGAGCTTGCGAGTGCTTTGGGACTTCAGCCTGGAGAAGATGAAGAACGCCAATGCCTTGTCCTTCACCCTGCAGCGGGCGTCTTGCTTTGGGAAGGCGATTGGGACCCAGAGCGCAGACCAGGCATCGAGGAGGTGAGGCATAAGGCACAGGAGTTCAGAGCAGCGCTTTGGGACGAAGCAGCACGAGCAATTGCGGAACTGGGGGACCCAGC